TTAGACCCCTCACGGACAGAGCACACAGAACTATAAAGGGAACCGAACAGATTCTGGGAGAGAGCTTTTTAAGAAAATAACTTGAGTGGCCAAGATCAGCAATTAAAAAAATAAACAATTTCCTGTCAGTTGTCTATTTGGATTTGGTGAAAAACAACACGAATCAAATATAATTGTTCGGAGGAGAGGTTAGAAAATTGGGAAGGGAAAAAGCAAAAGGGGGCAAGTAGTTTTTAGGGTATGAAAAATTAATACCCTCTGATTACTTCTGAAAACTGAACTCTGAACTGTGAAAAAGCTCTCTGCGCAGGCTGAGACAAGCAGCCATGCCCTGGCCTTTCAACAGTTATCTTGTGTGGCCTGAAGTGCATTACCACAAAGTGAAGAGTTGATTGGCCATTAGATTTTTCTGACCTAAATGCTCCAGGCTGCCTATATCCGCACAAATTCACACTGTGATCTGGTTGCTGTTTGTTTAATATTTGTGATATGCCCACAAGTTTTCTGGGCATGCAGTTGTCTTTTCCCGACCATTCAAAAAGAAAGTCTAAAGTCAAATGTAGACATTATATTTAAGACCCAATTCAAAATTTAGTTACTGAGTGCTTGTTATCTGTGTGGAATTGATAAATACAGCCCAACTTTTGCCTACAAGGAGTCTAGTTCATTTACACCATGGCCCAATATAATGTCCACGTGTACATTTTTATTATTTTGTTTAAATATGTATAATAAATGTAAAAGGTCTGCTTATTCTCCTTCTTGGGTGTTTGGCATCAAGACATAGGGATATACACTGGTATAAAGATAATAAAAGTGTTTCTCGTACACACCATGATACTATGATAATGACAATAATGATATTAAGAAAAAATAAGGGTTGCCACTTTGGGCAAGGTCAAATCATTGGTCTTAGTGAAGCTGGAGGCTCTGGTCAAGCAGCCACAACAGGTGATTAAACAGCTGCCTGGTTATATCATCTGTTAAACCTCTTCTCCCAGCCAAAATTCTTTTGCCCCCTCCAATGTCCCCTACATTTAAAGGGGAAAGTCACATCCAAATTACCAAAGCTACCTTAACTATATAGAAAATTTAAAACTGTGAGTATAATTTGGGGGTGGAGGGGAGGAGCAGGTAGCAGAGTGCAGCCATACCCAAGTGGGGCATAGGTTCTAACATCTTAGGCAAGGGGTTAACCTCTATGAACTCTGGTTTTCTTCAGCCTACACAGTTGGTACAGGACCAAGTCAGACAATTACGTTTAGCCCTTTTCATGTGTTCTACATGTAGTAAGTGTTTAATAAATGGTGGCTGCTGTTATTACTTTAAAATACCAAAATAATGCAATGGGCTATTTTTCCTACTTATTAAAAAAGTGCCTAAGATCAAAGGTCGCCATGGTCTAGGGTTGGGGGGAAGGGAAGACTACAAATGGACTGGGGGAATTTTTGTGGTGATGGAACTGTTCTATATCTTGATTGTGGTAGTGGTTAGGTGACTGCGCGAGTCTGTCAAATCTCACAGAACTGAACACCAACAAGAGTAAATTTTACTTTATGCGAATTATACCACATTTTGATTTAATATCTTTTTAGTTTTGATTAAATGTTTAATTAGTTGTGATTAAAATAAACTATCCAAATATAAAGACATTTTAACTTCATTTATTTCCCAAATTAAAAAGAAATCTAAGGTCTAAAATGCTACTTCAGATTTTTAGACCAAACTCTAGAAATAAGGGATTGAGCTATTTGTAAAAAATGAATGCCGTCTGAACAATTAACCAAATCAACTGTTTCAAAATAAAGCATGCATTGAATTAAATGGTGTGATGAAATGAATTATGGAAAGAGAAAATGAAAGTGATGTTTTCGTTTACTAGATTACTTAAAATGACAAACATAATGGCTTCTTCCCTAAAAATCTAGTTAATGGACTTTTGTAAACAATACAAAAAGTGTAATATTACTTTCAATAAACTAAGGAAAAGCAGAAAAGTCTGGTGATGAGTTCCATCATTTATTTATCTTCTCAAGGTATTTCTAAAAGGATCTATAAGGCTGCTTACTCTGAATTTTTTTGCAACACTGTTACCTTAACCAAGGAGCTCTTTCAGTATAGATTTGCACATTTACTTTGGCAGAAATGTAGTTTTACAACAATTTCTTACTCAATGCCATATTTACAAAACAGATAGAGTCCAAAAGAAATTACTTTCAATGAGAATATAATTCTGGTCAGCCCACAGTGTGTGTGTGCATATGTTATGCAACTCAGCAATAGTTCCCTTTCTTTGCCCACTGTTTACCACATTTAGCCTGTTATTTCTTGCTCTGATTTGGGGATTCCCACCTGAGAGGGATATCAAGGCTATAATGAAAATGGAAGCTAGGAACAGGAATACCTCACAAATCCTACATTTCAGCTAATGCAACCCCATAAATTGTGGTCATATGTTCCTTAGCGAGCATTTACTTCCTGCATTCCCTCAAGTCCCCAATTATCATCTTGCTTGCTATTCCACTCCTGCCTCTACTATTCCATCATTTGACTGCATTCACTCCTTATATTCAAAGAGAACACAAGGAAATCAAGGAAAGATGTCTATTGCTTTTTTACATGGGCTTTTGCTAAGCTTTTCATTATTTTTTAACAAATGTGAAATATAATTTCTGCCATTCATGTGACAAAAATGTACCCTATTCATTGCTACATGAAATTTTATGTTAAAGTAAAAGATATTTTTATTCTAGTAGGATATTGTCTTGATGCTGTTATGTCTTTACCACACTAAACTTCTAAAATCTTGATCCTTCAAGGAAGGCATCAATTCAGAGGAAGCATACCCATTTTCTACAATCTAGGCTTGATCAACTTTCAACACTATTTCCATAGTTTTAAAAGGGCTTTTAAGAAAATGCAAGTTGGAAACAGAGGCAAGAAAAACCAGTCAATCAAGTCATCTTAAGAGGTAAAAGACAATGAATAAGATATGATACTGGTAAATCCAAAACCATGCATTATAGAAATTAACAGAATTTAACAGAAAAAAACATGTACTTCCTTATTATTCCTCTATTGATTCAAGAAGCAATCTACTGATGTCCTACTATGTTCGTGGCAATGTGTATTTAAGAATACAACTGTGAACAAAAAGCCAACTACCTTCATTAGCAAGAAGAAAAATGACAAATCTTTGAAAGTTTAAAAATTAAAAAAAACGGTGATTTATGAATAATTAATCATTTCCCCACGTTCTTCTAGAATTGTTAATGAAAAAAATATATCACTGACAAGTTCTTAATTCTGCATATTAAAAATACTGGTAAACGATCCTTCTTCCTAATCTCCCATGAATGTAATATTAAAATAGATGCTGTTGTAATTAAGTTACACTGTGAGTCCCACTATGGACACCAATAAAGTTTGAATTTTTCAAAATGCAAAAACACACCCCTCCACAAAATTGGGGGAGAGGAGTTAAATTAGGTAGGCCAGTATCTTCTCTGGAATTTTCACCTCAAATTTCACTAACACTACAGTGCGAAATCACCACAAATCGCTGGTCATCAAAAAAAATAGATATGACACATAATTCTGTCAATAGAATTATCACACACAGTTGAAAGCAACTTACATGGAAACATAGCTATAGAGTAAAAGAAAATATGACTCACTAAAAGCTAGGCATGCAGCAAAAATATACTTTACTTTCTTTAAACTCTAAGCCTCTACTGCAGGTAGTTAATACACTTGAGCTTTAAGCCCTTCAATTGTGCCCTTGCCCAGACATAAACTGTACAAATAGATGACAAAGCGAAAAGCAGTTTCACAACTGCCTGTTACATAGAGTTGCAAGGTGGTATATTACACTAGATTACTGCATATGTTGATAACACCATCACTGTACTCAGAACATTTCTGTAGGTCCAATTAAATTTCAAATGCAACCAGTGCCAACTCTTTTCATTGTGGCCCATTCTGTCCTCTTTCCCATAGGTTATCAGCCATAGGAAAGGTGGGTGCAGTCCTGTCAATGTGTTTTGTTGCTCACTGTCCTGGTAACCCCTTGATTTTCAGAAAACAACATTTTCATATTTGCTCCAAACTTGAGCAGGATGAGCTAGTCTTGCCTAAGGCTCTGCTCTTCTTAGCTCATCAACTATTTTTTTCACTTCATGTCACGAGAAATATTTTTACACTGCAGACCAAATCATATGAGAATAAAACACAACCTCAAGAATTCCTAATATTGCTTTTTGAGTTTAAAATGTACAAAACAATCACTGACTTTCTTCTGCTAAATAACAATGCAAAAGATATCAAAATCAAGCAAACTGCCCAAAAGAACTTCCACAGAACTAGAGGCCTGCCTACTGCAGCAAGGAAAAGATTAAATTGTCCAGAACTGTAATCTCTGAGCTCTTGAGCCTAAGAAAGCGGAAATCTGCATTTATGTTCAAAACTCTACCCCATTTCTCCGTGTGATTGAGTGACCAGAGACTTTGCAACCTCAGAAGTATAACCATCTGCAAAAGGCAACTATCTACAGATTGGAAGAAACCTACTAAATAATCTCTGTTCACCACCTGGGATTTTTAAGAAAATGTTTTCACATAATCACTGTCTTTAACATACAATAGAAACCTTACAGGGGATCTGTTACCAGCCTAGGCTACCACCATAGAAGAACATGCCCTGCCCAGCCAGGTACAGGCCATACTTCCAGGTCAATCTTGGGAGAGGTGACAGCCCCAAGTTCAACTATGAATGTCTTTGAGCACAGCTCCCCCAGCACCTTAAGGATCACCTCTCCAATCTTTCCAAATGCCATTTTCATCCAATCCCTGCTCAACCACCCCAAGCACCCTTGCACCAGTAGTTCCCGTTAGCAGTGAGTGGGCTCCTCTTACAACCCCCTTCCACCACCACTCCCCTCTTAGGGAAACAGACCCCAAGGACGGCTGTGGGTGGACGATGAGCGCCCTTCTCCCACCTACCTTGATGATGCTGCTCCGGCGGGGCAGGCCGCCGGGTTTGCTCTCCCGGGGGAGGGGGCAGGCGACTGGGCTGGGGGTCGGAGCGAGAGCCACGCCGCGGGGTGCCCTGGCGGGGCTGGCCC